AGATTGTGTTTACAATGGCCATAGGGCCTGATTATATAGGGAGAGGGGAAGGGGGAAATACATAGTACAAAACATGAGGAAACTTTCTGGAAGCAACTATTTCAAAAACATGGGATAATACCCATTGAATCATGTCTCCAAAGTGGAATAAAAATCAGAGATGGGGCTGGGGTTGTGGGGTTTTGAGGTTTGGTTTGTAGTGGTTGTTTCCTGGTTTTTTTAAGGCTATTATTTGGGTAAAATGAGGGGTTGTGTTTGCTAAGAAAAGGGGGCAGGGATGGGGGCTATAATGGGTGGTTTTGGACTTATAGGTTTGGGTTATTTGTGAGGGAATATGGGCAGGAATGAGTGGCTAGTGGTGGGTCCGGGTTTTGGCTCTTTGTGGGTGTTTATGTTGGGATTCTGAAGTGTATTTTGGCCAGGGGTGAATGGAATAGAGGGTGGGTTTTATTTGTTGAACAAAAGGCTTAAAAGAAGAAAAATAACAACAGACAAAAGGTTTTATTTTACACAACCTTATTTTTGGCCAGAAGCTTAAATAAGAGTAGGAAAAAACTTTATTTTGAAATGAAGTAAATGGCAAGGAGTTTTGGATATTTTGGGTTGGGTTGGACAGAGTGGGGGTTGGCCTGTGGAACCCTCGGGTCCGAAGCTATCTTGGCCTCTTGGGTTGAAGGACTCGGAATTCTCACTAAAACGGATCATAATGCTTGAACTTAAGTCCTCTGGTTTTTGCGAGGGTGTAGGACATGGGGGAGGGTATGATAGGGCCAGGCTCGGGTATAACATCCTCCCGGTCTTCAAAAGAGTTTGTCCTCAAACTCGGAAGATCTTCAAAATCCTCGTACAGGCTAAGATCTCTTCGATGAAACGTGGCAGCAACTTCTAGGCCTCGTGTAAGATTGACCAGGTAGGAATTTTTTTGAACCTTTGCCAACACTTCAAACGGACCATCGTCTTGGGGTTGTAGCTTTGACTTGCGCTTATTGAATAAACACGCCTTATGAACGTGAACCCATACTAGGTCACCGGGCTGAATGAACCATTTCGAGTCATGACCCTTCTCAACCTTCTTTTCATACGGGGCCTGCAAAAACTCAACACGTTTGGTACGAAGTACCGTTAACAAAGATAGGTCTCGAGCGGAGGTTTCCGCGTCAGGAGTAACGACTCCTTCGTGGGTCTTGTTTTCTTGCTCTTCTTCTTTTATCTCCGTAACCCAAAACAGGTTATCCTCTGCGTCCTCAAACACTTCTTCATCCTCTTTGACACGTTCTTCATCCCAAATGGGATCATAGTCCTCGTCATCATATTTGTCCCAAACATGCTTTGGGGAAGTGGGCTGCATTGTTTCGGTAGTTTGAGAGGAGGGCTGTTCGGGCTTAGAAAATTGGGGAGCAAAAGTGGGGTTTTGAATCATGAAGAAAGATGACTCTTCAAGGGTACTCTTGGGGGCCTGTGGTTGGTTTAAAGACATGACGTTGGGAACGGATTGGGGTGAGGGCGTCGGACCAGAGTTGGGGGTGTGATGGGCAGTGGTCAGGAGGGGTAAAGGCATGGTTTTAGATGGTTTTTCAAGTGGGGGTGTAGGGGTAGGCGTGAGGATGGTTAGGGCAGTTTGTGGAGGAATTATAGGCATGAGTGTAGGCAAGTTTGGAGGCAGGGGTATGAAGAGGGTTTTGGGGCTTGTTTGGACAGTGGCCAGGGATGAAATATAAATGGGTTTTGAGGTATTTTGGGGCAGGGTTGTGGTAAGGGGTGTTGGGTTAGTTTGGGCAGTGGCTAAGGAAGGTAAAGAGGTTGTTTGAGTAGGAATTTTGGGTAGGTGTG